GAGGGAGACGCTGCCTCAATAAAACAGAAAAAGAACATTTTTAAATGGGGGTGCGGGGGATAGACGGTGGGATTCTGAGGGCATCCAAATTCCTTCCAGCTTTTCAGCATGTGATGGCTATTGCTTTGGGGACAAACTGGGCTTGATAGCATAAAAATTAGTTTAATGTTCACAATTAACGATCCTCGCCGCTTCTCAGACAAGATCTCCCAAGCCCAAGTCCAGAGCTGCGGTTTGCACTAAGAACACTCAGACCTGACCTTGGCTTCACGGCCATCAGCCAGGCAAGCTCTCCCTCTAGTGTTCATATGGGGGAACTGCAACTTCCTCAAAAGTGGGATGCTTTTAGGGAACTATTAAGTGTGCTTAATAATTAACCACCGGTAGCCATTTAGATGAAAGTGGGGCAACATTAAAGAGGACATTTAGAGTCAGAATATGCCAAGTCATGGAGCTTTTGAAGAGCCACTCCACTCCTAACACAAGGGTTAAAAACACACCAGTATCAAAAAACCAGAGGCTTTGCCATCTCCCCTAGATGGCACAGCTCTCCTATAGAATGTACACAGTGCTTCGGGCATAGCCCAGGGCTGGACATCAGGTGCCTGGTTTGAATAGCAGCTTCCACCAGACCTGATGGCACACACAGGAGACAAAGGCAGGAGAGAACCACCAGTAAGGCTATGCTGCCCCAGCCTGGGCTCCCTGTATTAAAAACATAGTAAGTAGGGTGCTGGAGAAAATGGTTCAGCAGCTGAGAACACTTGTGCTCTTGCAGAGGACCTGAGCACCCAAATGATGGCTCAGGTTCACAAGCATCCCTACCTCGGTTCCAGGGAATCTGACACCCTCTTCTAACCTCCACAGGCACCAAGCACATACATGGTATCCAGATACATATGTAGACAAAACCCAGATATGTATGTAGACAAAACATGTATGCACATATAATAAATAAATCTAAAGAAAAAATTCACAGCTTCCCACCCAGGGCCATTGCAGAGGAGTTTACAATATTCCTCCTGCAGGGGTACCAGGCTTGGGACAAGGGGTCCATGGTGACCCTTAAAGTCCCTAAATCCAGCTTACCTGAAGTCCTTCACATCTGAACATCTGTAACTATGCGACAGCCCTGAAGACTACTCTTTAAAGCCACACATGGTGAAGAACGGCGCAGCACTCAGCTGCTTCAGCGGGGTCATGGTTACCACTGGCTTCAGGTATGCGCAATAAAAGGGGACATGTTTGCAGAGAACTGTCAGCTCTTTTCAGAAGTGTTTGAAGTTGGTAACAAGTTCCAGTTGTCAATTTTCAAAAAAAAAACTATTTTAAAACTTAATCAGAAATGGAATCTTGTTTCATGTTGAAATATTAAATATTTGGGGGAGGAGAGGTCTGTTTGCCATTTTTAGAATTTGTCCCTTTTTTGTCTTTTTTTGCTTATTTGAGACAAGGTTTCTCTGTAGCTTTGGAGTCTGTTATAAGGAGGCCGCTTGTTTGTTCCAGGCTGCCCAGAACCAAAATAATCACACAGAAACTGTGTTAATTACAACACTGCTTGGCCTATTAGCTAATGCATATTTCTAGCTCACCCTGATCTCTTAAATCAATCCATTTCTACTATTTTATATTTTATCATGAGGCTTGTGGCCTACCAGCAAGGTTCCAGCTGGTGGCTTGTGTCTTTCTCCTCTGGTGGCTCCATGGCATCTTCACACTCCGCCTTCTTTCTCCCAGCAGTCTTAGTTTTCCCTGCCTAGCTCTACTCTGCCCTCTCACAGGCCAAGCCAGCTTCTTTATTCATTAACCAATAAAAACAACACATTTACAGAAGGACTTCCCATACCTGTCCTGGAACTAGCTCTTGTAAACCAGGCTGGCCTCAAACTCAGAGATCCCCCTGCCTCTACCTCCCAAGTGCTGAGATTAAAGGCGTGCACCACCACCCATCTAAATTTTTTATTTTTAAGTGTGTGTGTGTGTGTGTAGGTATGTGCAAGTGTTTGTGTATGGTTATGCGCAGTTACCCCCAGAGAACATATATACCCTCAGAGGACACATGCACCTCACGTGGGTACTGGGAATCAAACTAAGGCCCTCTGTGAGAACTGTCTGCGGTCTTAAGTCCTGTGCCATCCCTTAAGCTGTTGTTGTTGTTTAGCCCTTTGAGATATGGTCTTGTGTATCTTGAGTTAGCTCTGAATTGCTTCCATCCACCTGCTAATCCTTCTCTCTCCACCTCTGAGTGTCCAGACTACACATATGACTCAAAGACCAACCAATCTTAAACTGAGCTTCAACTTCAGCTGTCAGGATAGGTGCTGTATGTGCACCTCTGTGTAAACCACATACTTTCAACAGGTTCCACTGTTTGGGAGATGGATTCCCTTGAGAATTATCATTTGACTCTTGACAGTATTGTTCTTGTGTGCGATTCACATCCACTGCATCATTCTCTCCTCCCCCGACCCTTCTTCCCATCGCCGCCTCACCTCCTACCCTCCTGGTTGCAAGCTTTCAGTTCCTAGGACTTCCACACCCTCTTCTGGAGTGTTCCCTGAGCCTTGGAAGAGTTGGCCTATTTGGGGCAAAGCACTGAGCAGTCACTTAAATAATTTAGATATTAAGTGACAAACTAAAAAGAAATATGTTTGCTATTTAAAAAAAGAAAGTCAATCTCAACTTCAAACTCCTCAATAGGATTAAATAAGCATTTTCATAAAGATTGAAAATGCCAATGAGGGACTTGAAAACGGAGACAGTAGATGGTGAGGAGCTATCACCCTGGAACTGAAGGGCAGTTCTGAAGGTCTGCCGTACCACACATCTCAGAAAGTTCAAGTTGGCACACCTGGTTATTTCAACATTGGCCCCTATAGGGTTCACCCTGTCAACCTGACTGGATTTGAAATTATCTGTGGGATACAACTCTGAGTATATCTGTAAAAGTGTTTCCTGAAGGTTTAACCCTGAATGTGGACCACAGCATACTGTAGGCTGAGCTCTCCAACTGATTAAAAAGAAAATGCCGGGCAGTGGTGGTACACTACTTTAATCCCAGCACTCGGGAGGCAGAGGCAGGAGGATTTCTGTTTGAGGTCAGCCTGGTCTACAAGAGCTAGTTCCAGGACAACCAGAGCTGTTACACAGAGAAACCCTGTCTTGAAAAAGAACATAACAACAGGAAGGCAGGGAGGGAGGGAGGGAAGAAGGGAGGGAGGGAGGAAGGGAAGGAAGAAGAGAAGGAGGAAGAGAATAAATAGGGCACAAAGGAGGAGGTAGGGAGGATGGGTGAAGGTCTGGGAGGAGCTGGGGAAAGTGGAGGACAAATACGATCAAATAAAAATATATTTAAACTGGTTTTACTTATGTTAAGTTACGCATTTTATTTCAATGTGGGGGAACACTACTTTTATTGCTTAGTCTTGTCACCTTGACATAATCTATAATCACCTAAGAAAATCTACCTGAAGATTTTCCAGGCCAGGTTGGCCTTTAGGCACGTGTGCAAGAGACTTGTCTTTATTAGACCTGGCCCACCATGAATGGCACCATTCCACAAACTGGGCACTGTATGTGTAAAAGCCACCAAGGCATGCATGCATTCTCGCTGTTCTTGCTGCTTGCTTCAAGTTCCTGCCCTGACTTCCCTACAATGATTGGCTGTGACTTGCTACTGTAAGTCAAATAAACCATTTCTCCCCAAGATACAGTAACAGAGATGAAAACTAGGACCCTGAGGATAATGTAAGGATAAATGTTGTGTTGGAATAGGACAAAGGGTATTTGTAGATAAAGAAAAGGTGTAAAATAAGTTCAGCTTGGGAGCCTAAGAAAATCAGCCTTCCTAAAGATGGTTTGAATAAGAAATGTCCATATTGTCTCCAAGTTAACACTTCACCCCAGGTGATAGTGCTCTTTGGGGGTTTAGGTGGCCTTGTCTAAAGACTGTGATCACTGGGGCCGGGCTTTGGGAGCTTAAGGCCTGCGTCATTTCAGTCCTCTCTCTCCGCTTCATGCTTAAGGTTCAAGATGTCCTCAGCTTCTGCTCCAGACGCCATGCCTATTACTACCATATTGCCCTGCCCAAAGAAATCCTATGTCCTGTAAAACGCCTCAGTCACTAGTGTTAACTCAGTCATAGAAAAGTTACTAATATAGCCATACTTCCACACAGGAAGCCACACCTCGGTAAGAACGAGAGATAATTACACCTATCTGCATTTCAGTTTTACTTACACAATGATCTTCATTTAAGTGGAAATAAAGAACCTTGTTTTCCAGGAAGCCAGGCCTATCCTCTTCCATCCTTTCACCTTACACCAGACGGAGGAAGGAGCGGCAGCTTGAGAGCTCTGGAGAGGCTGGGTCTGTACTCCCTCCCTGGCTCTGCTTGCCCCAATTACTGGATCAGCAGGCTAAGATGGTTCGAGAACATCCCACAGGAACCAAACACCCAGATCCCACAGCTGTGAATTCAGAAATACTATGGGAGGCTTGTGCCAGCAAGGCATAAGACAAGTATTTCTCATATATGTAAAGTCAGGGTAGAAAAAAATATTTAAAATTATTATGGCTCTTAGAATATTCTTTACCTATCAGAAGGCATAATTGGTATATTCACTAATGATCTTTAAGGCCGAAAGGCGCTTCCTTACTCTGGGTCACTACCACTCCCTCTAATGGATGTTGGGACGAAGGTATTCTGATTTTCTGACGGTGGTTTTGATAAACATCATTGCAGTCAGCAGAGTAAGCCTTTTGTTGCATTATCCAAGACTGTGAAGAGCTCTCTGGCCAGTGAGGGGAGCCATTGGGCTGGCACAGGATTCTCTAAGCTCTACTGCACACTGCTTGGGAGAGGCCCTCATTTCCTGACGAGCTTTCCTAATTGCTACAAGAGGCCCATGTGTTAAGAGAGAGAGAGAGAAAGGAACTCGTGACAGTGGCTGTACGTTACAAAGACATTCTACCACTATGAAAACACATTCGACACAGAATCATTTTTAGCTGAATCTGTTTATTGCCTTCTATGTTTCATGGAAAATGTAACATGTTTCTTCAGTACGACTTTGTGAAACACACAGAGCATAGCTGGGTGAGACGCACTTCTACTCCTAGTCCACTTCTCAGGACAAATCATCAAGCTGTTCCACTGTAATTAAATACTTCTTGCAATCCGTGAACACCATGCTTAACATTTACTAATTTTCTCCTTTCAATATAGGCAATAATTCACCACTGTCTTTCAGTTCCTAAGAATTAAAAAACAAACATACAGGTATTCGTGAGTATACAGTCATGCAAAAAGAAAAAAGTATCTAAGTAACACGTTTTTACCATATCTGACACCAAAAGGACACCTACTTAGCTAAACCTGCAAGCTTTCAACATGGTCATATTCTTACACTATAAAACTAAAGACAAGGCACAGCAGTAGAGCATTGGTCTACAATGCCAAGGCCCTGGGTTCAAGTCTCTCTCTTCTATCTCTTCTTTCTCTTCATAAGTAAATTTGAATATAAACCACACCATTAAAATTTATTTTAAAGCAAATACAGTCATCTTTTTGTATTCATGGAGACTGACTGTGGGTTCATACAGATCAAAGACAGCCCTTACAGAGAATGGTATGTAGTTACAGCCCCACATCATGCTATAAAGTGGATGCTGTCATGCTGTGCTGCTTGGGAAATAATGACAAAAACGCTGTACACTGCTGGGAACATGAAGGTCCTTGCACCCAAAGATCTCCAGGGAAACTAAGAATGTTAAGCATGCAGGAAAAGATGGAGAACTTGTTCTTCCATCCAGAAGCTGGGAAGTAGAGGTGATTAATAGCCTGGTGATCAGTGTTATCTGTTGGGCCAGGTCCTATAAATCTCCTACAGCCAGGACCAGAGGTGGCTAGTAATCTAAATGACCATCATATTACCTATATAGCCAGGGGTTCCCCCAAGCTCCCACAACCAGGACCTGAGATACCTAACAGCCTAAATGACCCGTATGCTGTCTGTATAGTCAGGAGCTCCCTGCAAGCTCCCACATCATGATCAGAGGTGGCTACAAATGACCTCTTTGCTATCTGTAGGACTGAAACCAATCCCAATCTGCTTTAGGCCCCTAAACTAGCACAGGCAGCCTATCTCTAGAACCCATCTTCTTGAAGGGAATGACATGTACTTGAGTTTCGATGTAATTATACTTTCTTGTGCACTAGGGGTTACATTACACTAGAAAACTTTTTTCCAAATTATACTGGGTTTAAATACGAAGTTTGATCAAGACTGACAAGTCGATCTGAACTGAGTTTTCATTCTCCCACTCAGTTTGCTTCCTTGCCTAACATGACATCTACAAAAACTCCTTCAGGACATGTTCCCAACAGACTTAAAAAGAAAAATTTGAAACAGTGTCTGATTATATAGCTTTGGCTGTCCTAACTCACTATACAGACCAGGCTGACCTTGAACTCACAGAGATTTGCCTGCCTCTGCCTGTCAAGTGCTAAGATTAGAAGCATGTACAAGCCACCAAATCCAGCTTCTACAGATTGTGTGTGTGTGTGTGTGTGTGTGTGTGTGTGTGTGTGTGTGTGTGTGTGTGTGT